TTCAGTGCTGTAGGCAAGGAGATACACACAAGTTCAGCAATAGTCTAGTGTTCCTCTCCTGATACCATTGGAGCTCAGACACAAAAGCCCTTTCGCCAAATCCAGCTAAATCACGAAGATCTGCTGTGTAGCACATCTCTTCACAATATCAATTTTTCCTATATGTCCTTCGAAAAATATTGTTTTCATTTTCTACCATTAAGGTCATCAACTCTTTGGTAGAGTTGCAGCTTTACCTGAAGAAAATCAAATCAGAAAGCACTGTACACAGAGTTAAATGCATTAGTAGTTTTTCCGGCGAAACTGCTTTGTGTGTTTCTGAGAATCTGTATTCGTGAGGTTTATGGAAATATGACAGGAGCCTTTGAGAGTCTCATCGCTTGTTGACTCCGTAACCGCCGGAGCTCCTCGATATTTAAGACCGATAATCAGTTATGTGCATATTTTTGCAAAATGATGCATTGTTGAGGAGCAATGATTAGATTAGGAGTCGTATCGAGGCAGTTTAGAGGAGGGTAAAGCACTTGCGGTTATAATCTGATTATGGGTTTGAAATAATTAGCATGCTAATGTTTCTCTTGGCCATTGTGGGTAGAGTTGTGCTCAAAGCTATTATGTGTTTTACTGGAGTGTGTGTATAAAAGAGCGTGTATATATGTTTCGTGGTCAGGGTTAATCAGTAATAGGTATGTGTGTGAGTGTGTGTCTAAATCCTTCTATGCTGGCCAAAGAGGTCTTCCGTGCCCGTGAGCCTTTGGGTAGCTGTGTGCTTTGGAGATAGTGCCGCTGCCCACTATCCAGGGATCCAGGCTCGATCAGACTGGGCTGTAGGAGGGCCGGAGGGGGAGTGGCACTGATCCGGTTAGAGCATTGAGGCTGGAAGGGATTTTTAGGCACAGAGGGAAGACTCTCTCCTGATCTCTGTGACCTTCTTACAGCTGTTTTGAAGTGGCTAGGACAGAGGGAGAAATCAGGTCAGAAAGTTCGAATATAGGCCTACATCAAGTGATACAGTTTAGATTAGGGGCACCCCATCCTGTTCTTGAAGAGCTACCTTCCTGCAAAGTTCAGCTTCAACCCTGATCAAACACAATCAGCTAATTAAGATATTCAGGAGCACTTGATAATTATAGACAGGTGTGTTGGATCAGGGTTGGAACTGAATTCTGCAGTTAAGTAGATCTCCAGAACCAGGTTTGGGCACCCCCTGGTTTAGATAATACAAGAAATCAGCTTTTATAATAAATCTTCATGAAGTAATGGAGAAGGACTTGTGCTGTATTGTAATTAACTTTTGCACATTAATAGCATTTCCAAAGTCTAAGACATTTCCAAAAATAAGCAATTTGTCAGTCCACACAATGGGGTGTGACACAGTCATAGCCAATCAGAATGTACTGATGTTTAAAGAACGGTTATAAGAAACAGAAGTTAGACCAATGAGATTTCACAGGGGGTGGAGCTACCCACCTTGCAACCACTCAGAACACTCTAGCAAATGTATAGACCTTATGTGCCAGAGAAACAAGTGCACAGCCATCATTCGAATTTTATGTTTGAACTTCCATTTTTGCAGTAGCTCTGTATACTGTGTACCTGTACAGGGTCAATTTTGTTTTTAAAACGTACATAAAAGATTTTTAATATAACATTCCTATAATTTAATATAGCAATGCCTTTCACTCACTGAATTAGCAGTTATCAGTTTCATAAATAAAGACAAAATGAGTAAAAGAAGGCGATTTAGGAATGCTGAAGAGGTAGGCTATAAGCACTAAATGCCATGAGCGATGGAGTCTGATGGTGGGGAGATAAGTAAAGCGTCCTGTCGGCTCAGCAGCTGACGGCGATCAATATATCATATTAAGACGTTTTATCCTAATGTTACTCATAATTGTTCAAAATTTGGATTAATTATTTAATTTTTGTTTTGCCATTTCTATCGTTTATTGTTCGCTTCTGTGTTGCTATTTATTCTAGTCTGCCTGTTTCCTGAAGAAAAAAATTATTTTGATTGCCCGAAGTTTATTGGTGTTCTTCTTGTATAATTCAAATTATAAATGATATAACTAAACAAATTAATAATTAATTAGGTGAAGCTGTGCGCTTGAATTTGTCATCGCATCATCCTATGCAATGTGGTGAATTAGGCCTATTATTGCTCATTATTGTCTATAGGCTATTTTAGTCATTTAAATAACATAGGTTATCTTAATATATTGATTAATGACATTGCATTATAATAGCCTATTACACCACCCAAATATGTATTTACTTCCTTCTAATTCTCGTTGTCAGTGCAGGCTTGTTTAGCTTAATATTGACCGTTATGAAAAGTGACTAGTGTAGCCTGCATAAAAAAGCCTTGAACATAAAACAACAGGACAAAAATATAGTTGATGACTAGACAATCAATTTATGACTCTAGACACTTCTTTGTGAAGACAGTACCATAATACAGTGAAATAATATGTTCTTTAACCATTCATAAACAGCTGTCATGTGCGTGGGTAAAATTTTTAGGCAGTGTTGAGGAAAGTTACTTTTAAAAGTAATGCATTACAATATTGCGTTACTCCATTAAAAAAAGTAACTAATTACGTTACTTAGTTACTTTTTGTGGAAAGTGATGCGTTAGGTTACTTTTGCATTACTTTTTAAATCTGGACAGGGCTTGTTTGTTTTTAAAATAAAAAAGTTATATTTTTGGCAAATATAAAAGCCTTTTCACACCAAACGTGAAATGAATGGAAAGTAAATTTAGCCTTCAGGCTGAAGGGAAAGTAAATTTACGTCCGTACAGTAGAATGCAAAAGAAGAAATTTCAACACACTTCAGCAATAAAAAAAAGACACAAATGCTTGTCTAGAGTAATTTGTGCTTATTAGTACGGTTGAACTGGATCATCGAAGGTCAGAAGCAAAGACATTTCTTAATAGAATGGGATTAAATACAAAGGATATTTGTGTTGTTTAACATTTAATTATTGCAGGTTTGCGTCATATTCTGAGTTACATTATTTTTATCCATTTTGAGGAATACTGAATCTGTGTTTTTTATTTTGTGAGCAAGATGAATTAATGCATATTCATATTTATTTTAGAACTACAGTAACATCTTCTGATTTCTCTCAACATGGGGGCAGGAGAGCTGTCAATCAATAAATTGGGGGGAAAAAAGTAACTCAGATATTCTCTTGTAAATTAAAAAATAATGCGTTACTTTACTAGTTACTTGAAAAAAGTAATCTGATTACGTAACTCGCGTTACTTGTAATGCGTTACCCCCAACACTGCTTTTAGGTATACAGCGACCCCTGGCGGTTCTAGCGTTAAGAGCTGGTGAAGTGGATTTACTTACTGTAGAGTTAACAAATGTTATCATTAACATTGTAATGTTTGAAGCGGATGTCATGAATGTCAGTAGACCATTAAGAATTTAAAACAAACGTTTCAGTCATAAATCTGTAAATTTTAGTCCTGCGGAGTTTTGCTCCATCCTTGATAAAAACTCCCCTGCCTGCTGCTTTTTAGTAACTCTTAGACCTTGATTATCTTGTTCTTGTGTGTTTGATTAGGGTTGGAGCTGAAGTCTGCAAGACTGTGGCTCTCCAGCATATAACAGCTTTCTAACAATAACACAGAACACTGCTTAGCAGCGCCATAGCCAGTGCTGGGTAGATTACTTACAAATTGTAATCTGTTACTGAAAAAAGTGTAGTCAGTAATGCTATCAAGATTACTCATTTTAGTTAATGTACGCTGACTACTTTTAGATTACTTTTGACATAATATTTATTAGGGATGTTTGTCTCTAGAACAGAGGCCGATGCGATATGCATCTCGATACATAGCCAACGATACGATACATTAAAGATACATATGACACAACTACCGATGTGATATGATTCACCCCAATTATGATGCAGTGCAATCTGATTTCGATTCGATTCAACACAATCCGACTCAATGCAATATGATGCAATGGAAAAAAAACATGATGCTATGCAATTCCGTATTGTACAGATAATTTGCTTTATTTCTTTGGTTCAGACAGACAGCCATGTTAATCTATATTCTATGTGACTCTCAGGACACTCCTCGGTCTCCGTAGTGTTGTAATACGTCATATTCACGTAGCAGCACTTTCTAAATAATAAAAGTATAGTGCATCTACTAATAATTATATATAAATACAGCGGGTAAAATAAGTATTGAACACGTCACCATGTTTAATTTCGCATAACACAATTTCTGAAGATATTTGTTTTGTTTTCTTTGTATGTATTGATTACTTGGGTTGTTACCGACATCTGGTGAAAATGTCATGTCAACAGCACCTTTAGAAATATATTTACTGAGAAAAATGGTGACGTGTTCACCGATGCGAATCGGTGAATCTTACCATCCCTATTGTTCATATATTTAAATGTTAAATCCAGATCACATGTAAGTAGTTACTACCCAGCACTGATCATAGAAACCACCCATAACCCCTAATATTTCCTCTGGTCTAATTGCTTCCATAGAGGTGGTGTTTGTCACATGGTAACTTTTCTGTTATGACTTGACGCTTTTTTTTTCCAAAAGATGGCACTTCAAGGACAAATATGGTATTCTTTGTGTGATTTCTTGTTTTTTATGACTTGGTGGAGCTGGCTGTTACAGGACCTGTTGGAAACATCCTTCATGCTGTCATGCTAAACAGCACTAATGATGAATAATGATGCACATCTCTGCATGTCCAGCCTCGTACAGGCTGGAAATGATGAACAGAGACAGTAAGAAAAGGAGAGAGACAATTGGACAAAATAAACAGAAACTGAAAAAAGAGCAAAGAACTACAAATTCAAAGTTGGTTACACTGACATAAAGATGGCAGACAGAACAATATCTAAATAAAAAAGAGAAAAAGCTACAAAAAAGCTAAAAGTGTCAAATCAGGCCAGTGTGTCTCCAAGATGCTCAGTAAGAATGTTTGTGTGATGGTTTGAATTGCAGCCAGCGCCCCCGCCTCACCCAGAGAGATGATCAGCCTCAAGGACAGGAAGAGTGACTACGACTCCACTGGAACCAATGCCAGTTACCATGGAAACAAAGGAGAGCACACTTCCAGAAAAGACACAATGGCAGGTAGGTCTAACTTCAGCAGGAGGAGGAAGATCAGAGTTTTATTTGAAGCACTTAACAGCAAGTAAACTAGATGTACACTTACAGAACTGTGAGTTCCGCTGTTTTCTGAGCTTTTTATGTAAAATTACTTTTGAATGGACAAAAAAATTATAAGAATAACAAAGTTTAAACTCTGCCATTCATGAAAACATCCATGGTGAATTATTTTTCAACTGCTGCTGCAGAATGTAAGGTTTTACACAAGAGAATGTGAACTTGAATATTTACAATAATTTTGCTTAAATTAAAAATAAGGCAACATAGATAACAGTGATTTTATGTCCATGAATTAGAATATTAATATAATATTTTGTATTTATTGTTATATTGGTGCATATAACTTATATTAATGTTGATATATAGTTATATAATGAAAATATATTAATATTTGAATTGTATGCATTTATTGATAATATTCATATGCATTAATTTGTATTTATATTAATAATTTTCATTTGTACTGTAAATATTAAGGGGGGGCCACAACATTATTAGCAGGATTAATCTAAGATCCATTATTAATTTAATGTATTGTGTATTAAAATGTGTCATAATATACAAATCAAAATATGTTTGATACTGAAATGTTGTATTTTAATATATGTGAGAAAAAAACTAAACTGTCTGGGTTTGAATTCTTGGCCGGCCACATGTAAGTGTTATTAGGATGAAGTGTATTTACGGTCCATCAAGCTTTATCCCTGACTCCCATTTGGTTGAAATAGAGCCCAGAGTTCCTTGCTACAGCCCTGCCAGAGTATCTTATAAAAGGATGGATTTGTTTCACTCTCAATAAGTACAATTTCCAGAAATGTTCACAGTTGTTTAATGCTTGATTTATTTTTAAAAAAAAACATCCTCTGCACATTCACACTCTCCCTTTCATCCCGCAGTTCAAACCTCCTGTGGAACATCCACATTGTTCCGCAACTCGTACGAGACTTCAAATGACGAGATCAAACACAACCAGGTGAGCATTGAATCAGCCTGAGACGACTTAACAAACCAGGGTCAAACAGGGACTGCAGTTCCAAGCCTGCATAAGAAATATGTCTCAAATTGTGGAAATCCTTGCAAAAATCAGACACCATTTACATTTACTACAACTGATATGCGGCTGTTGGGATAAGTCATTAGCGAATGTTTTCAACACAAGGCAGCTGTCTATCTACCAATCCAGAACTGTGTTGGCAAACAAAAGGTTGAAGATCTATTCGTTCTTGCATAGACCTGTCAGATGTTGTTTATTTGACTTTGTGAGCCATCATGCTATGCTAATGAATCGCAACTATATGCTTCCAAGTGCTAGGCACTTTGGCCAAATAGAAGACATATTACTTCTACTTGTCAAGGTTCATCATGGTAAATTTTCAGATTTCATATGGATAAAGTTTGCCAGATGTCCCTGGCACACTTCCGAACCACACCGTATGTTGAGTCAGTCGACAGAAATGCTTTCCCAGACGAGCAGCTGCGAGGAGGCTGGGTACTGATAAGCCTGGCTTCCACATGGATCTTTCCTTTCTGTAGCTGGAGAGCATTCAGCTCTGAATCTTTTTCAATTAGTAACATCTCATTTTCTGCTTCAAATCTCTCTGTTATCGAAAGCAGCTCTGAATGGACAGAATAATGTGAATTTAAAGGGTTAGATCACTCAAAAATGAAATGTTCGTGATCATTTACTCACCTTGTGTTGTTCCAAACTCACCTGGCTTTCTTCCACAAAAGGAGATGTTAGGCAGAATGTCTGCATATTCCGTTTTTGTTTTCATGAAATATTAAATGGGTCATGAAATGCAGTTTCAGATTTTTGTATTATGCTTCTCAAGGTTAGTTTTTTTGCACCAAAAAATGTCCAATATTTGTAAAAATAATCATTTTCCCTCCTCATTTCACTCTCTGTGAAAAACACTCAATTTCAAGGGGCGTTACCTCTCGCAGATACAGATGTAAATGCCCACTGCTGCTATTGGCTAAATTCACTGCACCATATCCATAATAAAAAACAATCTGGGGGGGGGGGTCAGAATTCAGAACAACACCAGCAGCATGTTTAGAATAATTCATAAAACAGTCCGTTGTGAAATGTGATTTAGTGACATTTCTAATGCTCAGATCTTTAGGAGGCTATGCAAGGGATGTGCAGTTTCTTTACATCCACTGACAGAACAACGTCAGAGTTTGACAGTCTTATTCCTCGGATTGCTTATGATGATGCAGATTAAGGGGCGTCTCGAGGAGAATTGTGACATCACCATTTTCCAAATTTCAAATCTGAATCAAATCTTTTCAGAAGGGTATAGAATAATGCATGGTTTCGTTAGTTTTGAATTTTGAAACTGGCAATATTTTGATCCTCCATTTCATGACACCTATAAGTGTTCTTTGCGAAGACATTTTGCTATAACAGCAGGAAATTATAGAGTATTGTAAAAACTCTGACAGCAGTGAATTCATAAATACATACAGGGCCAAACATTATTGATTGGTTTCTCATTTTCAACCAATTTTTACTGATGCTACCAAGACTATTACAAGTCATTGTTGCAATTTCAGCAAAAACTCAAAAGATAATTTTACCTAGCCGAGTTTAAAAAGTTGACAAGGAGAATTTGTCACTGAAAACTAAATGTTTGTGTTTGCAAGGCGTAATGTGTGTACAGTATCAAATAATGTATGATAAAGCACTGGGCCATCCTTATTGTTGAGCCTTGTACAATATAAAAGAACATCGGCTCCAAATCAATGTGTTTGGAAGCACAACAGCTGCCTCTTCCTCCCAAATTTGAGATGTGAGAAGTTGATCAATTTCACTCACAAATCCTTCTTTCACCTCAGATCCCAGTGCCGCCCGCACCACAGGAGCCACCGCGCAATGACTACGAGGCGTACCCCATCTATCAAAACTCCACCAGGGACTTTGAGGGGCCATTTTTTGAGGATCAGGTCCATCGCCCACCTCCCGCCACAGATCTGAATATGCACCTGGGACTCAAGTCCACCGGGAATTACGTGGACTTCTACTCTGCCGCCCGGCCCTATAGCGAACTCAACTACGAAACGAGTCACTACCCCGCGTCCCCCGACTCTTGGGTTTAGGACTTCGAGCACGTAGAGGCCGGGAAACTGCATGTGCATGCATATCCCAAAACATTTTTCAGCGAGTTTTGTTAGTCTAAGCTGGTTCCATGGCGAATATGAGCGGAGTTGAGCAAAAAAAGAAAGAAAGAAAGCGAGAGAGAAAAGAAGGCCTTGACAGAGAGAAAGAATGCATGAGATGAGAGAGAGCACATACTTTAAAGAGAAGTGAAAGCTTAACCTTTGGAGTAGAAAGTGGGTTTGTATTGAAAGGTGTTTGAAAAGTGTAGAGGGAAAAAAAACTGAATTATAGCAGAGGAAGGCGAGGTATGGAAGCACAAGAAAATTAAGTTTGTAAAACGAGCTACGGGAACAGCTTTTCACTATTTTCAAAACTTTCTTTTCATTTATTTGGCGTCACGGTGGATCAAAAGCTTTTTCCTTTACACATTTTCCACACTATTTTTATTTGATCTTTTTTAATTCGATGTAAAGTATTTGGTGTACATTAAAGAGATGCATAAGTGCATTGTGTAATTACACAGACCACTCGGTTCTTCCCATGGCTTTGGGTATTTGTTTTACAGTACAAGAAAAAGACAAAAAAAAAAAAAAAGAATCCTCTGAGAGATGTGTTTAACCTTCAGTGTCCCTTCCCCAAAATTACATTCGAAGAACAAGGATGTAAATGCCAGTATCGTTCGTTCTGAAAACGTGAATATGTCTGTGGCAACTAAAACAAAAGCAGACGAAGACCGGAGCATCGTTCCACTCTCCTCTCCTCGTCGATCAAGTGCTTTCTCACTGCCTACAAAAATAGATGTAGATTTTTGACAGATTCTTTTTTCAATTTCACTTTTTTCTTTCTTGACTCAGTGTTGAATAAAACTAAATGCGGCTATTTGTCATCCATATTTGCAGGAAAACTGTCTGTTTTAGACCTTGATCTCAGTTTTCCGTGCTAAGTGACTGTGCCAAATTTTAAAATCTCTTCAATAAGCACTAGAGACATTTTTAAGTTTTTCAGTTAGTTACTTCTTCGATTTGTACCTGCGTTTTTTTGTTCATAAGTGTGTTTTACTGGAATTAAGCGACATCTAGAAAACACTGGAATACTACCAGGAGGGCAAAATGTAACTTTGCGAGCTTAATTCCCTCCAAAGATGTACAAAAAACCCCTGTCTCTCAATGTTAGTTGAGTGTGTGCTGTATGTCGATCAGTGTTTGCTATGAGAGGCTTTGTTTCTGACAGGTGGCTTCTTCTGTTTGACTTGACCAGAGATGATGAACTGCTACACTGCGATGTTAATAGAGAATGATAAATATATAAATATGAATATAAATATAGATCTATATAATTTTTATTTGTTGATGTCAGTGTCACTGAAAGAAACAAACCAGAAAAGACTTGTACAAAAAAAGAAAAACGATTCTGTTTACCTTCATGTATTGATTCCAACAGAGAAAAGAGAAAATGAAACTTGAAATGTTGACCTGATCCCAGTTGTGTTGTTACCAAGCTACTAAAATAATCACGCTGGATTTGGATGATGTTCTGATGTCAGGACAATAAATTACTCTTTGTGATTTGGAGCCGTTTTCTTATGTCCAGTAGATATGCCACAAAATCATTTTCACATCCGAACAATTCTGCATTTATTCTGCAGTTACACCGCCGCAGTTACACTGCTTGGCGCTATGGAGTAAGTTTCACCACACTATGGCCATGTACACGCTGCAGCTAAATTCGGTTGTCAATTCACCTCTTAGTGCTTTTTGTACACACAGTTCAGTAATTCACTTTAGTAAGGAAGTGACAACCACATTCTACAACCGAATTGACTTCTGAAAAATGCAGGTAGTGACAACCACATTTGCAGAAATTCATGCTGTGTATACAGAACCGAACTGAACAATTAGTTTTTAATGATGTATTTAAATGCGTATCAGTGTTGTGGTGCAAGAAATCACAGCGAAGGAGGTACGTCTTGACTCAGTGTTGCCAAATCTTGCTATAAAAAAAGAATAAGAACAAGCCTATAATAAACTTAAATAAACCAAAAGTGTTATCTTGGAAATAAACAACATACCAAAATATCGCAACCTGCACGTGCCTACTTTATTATCTCCATGAAATTAATCGCTTTATGAGCCAAGCCCAAAGACGCTTAATAAGCGATGCTTTTCATAACTGAGCTCACTCTGCAAAGCAACCATCCCAACTTAAAACACGATGGCTCTGTAAACTGTGGTTTAGTTAAAATCGCAAAACATAACTTTGGTCGTTGTAATATTATATAGTTAAAAATAGCAGATAACAAAAACATGACGCCAGAATGCTGCTATGGTTAGGCTACTATAGTCATCGCAGTTTCGAGAGCGAGTTCTGTTCCATACGCAAAGAAATAATAATAATTTGGGGATTCACTCCTGTATTTAAATGTATTTAACCTTCTGGCCCTCTACGGTAATTTTTTACCTAAAAATTTTATATATTTTGAAATTTGTGTCCTAAACTCAAACACTGGTGTCTCATGTTTTAGAGCAGTCAATGCAATTTAGGAAAGAACTCAATCATATCTGTGTGTGAAAATATTCAGATGTTACCCCCTTTGTAATCTTTAACAGTTTCATAAGTAACCATAAATTAATTACACAATTTTTCTCAGTAATTTAACAGATTACAGTTTATTTTGTAATTAAATTATGTAATTCCGTTATAACTAGTTACTCCAACACTAGTTGTCACTCCTGACAATTTAAAGGTGGCCAATAATGTAGGGCAGTTTGATTCTAAACATTGTGTTTTATTTATTATTTATTTATTTATTTGGACAAAAATTAATTAAAAATAATTATTCATGAACGCACTTAAAGGATAAGTTCAACCAAAATGCAGCGGGTTATCCAAAACAATGTAGAATATTTTCACGTGTAAGTATCCTTTGTTCATTGCCATGCCAACTGCCTATGACTGTTTATGAGTTTTTTGTGTATAAACAGGAAACCGAGAACTGTTGTTGTCAAGTCTCTTCATTAATAATGTCACCCCCCCCTCCTCCCCTTTAAACCATAACATTTCTGCAAGCCTAAATTGTCCACATTAATGTGGTTTTGTATTAGGTTAATGGTATTACTGTATGTGTTTTATATATTCATAATAGCATTGTATATGTCTTTTAAACATTTGGAGACTCACCAAGTAGGATTACAAAGAACCTCTTGCCAGATACCCACAATTCCTTTTATTGATCCGCTCTTCCACCACTTCCAGCCGGGTGCGGTATTGTCAGATCCACAGCCATCTGAATGTTCTATCACCGTGATGAAAGAGACTACGGAGCGTTCCCTAGGAAACAGGAAAACAGAAGCAAAAGATGCTGGCTTTGAATCCTAACCATAATCCATAGCTCAGCGGAGAGCACAGTTTCAGAGCATTACATCCCCAGCAGGCTTTGCATGATGTACAACAGGGGCCTCTTGCGCCGATTTCAGCAACCCAACAATTCGCACATGGGCAAACAGACGTGAAGAGAGGGCCTGTACCTGTTATTACCTGTAGCGGGAGAGGAAATAAATAAGCACACAGGATGGATTCTCCTCTTAGAGAAGGAGGATGTGGCGGCTCATGCCTGGCGAGGCATTATGGGGATTAAGTAACAGGCACCTTAAATGTAGCCCTTTGAGACGGACTCTATCTGCTCATTTCCTGTCAGTATGAGTATTGTCATTACTTCTCTGCTTTCAGGGACAGAGTTCCTCCATCCAGCACAGGAGAGACAGAAATGAGATGTGTGTTTTGGTCTGTGGCACAAGAATGAGGGTCCTGATGGTCATGGCAATGCAAGGGAATTTTAAAATGGATTCCGAAGTAAAAGTCAGGGAAAAGCCACATATTTTTCTCGTTTTTGCTCTGCTCTGTAATATTGCATCAGCTAGATATAGTAGCTGGTGTAAAACTTGTCCTCGAGCGATCGTGATAACATCAGCCTGTCCGCTGAGGGTTTTATTGGAGACATTTGTACACTAGTAAGTGTCCTTGTTGAAATCTATTTTTTAAAAGATTTTTTTTCCTGACATACAACTGGAAATCTACCTCAGCGATCTCTAATAAAAGGATTCCTTACAAGCAAGTACACATGAGTTGACTGGGAATGTCGGAAAAGTCAATGAAATTTATTGATCACTGAATATTATCCATACACTTCAGTTCTTAAGTTTGGGTTAAGTGAGATTTTTAATGGTTTTAATGACCAAGGCTGCATTGATTTGATTAAAAATACAGTAAACAGTAATACTGTGAAATATTATTACAATGCAAAACAGCTTTTTTATATATATTTTAAAATGTAATTTATTCCTGTGATGGCAAAGCTGAATTTTCAGCAGCCATGTCTCCAATCTTCAGTCTCAGATGATCCTATAAATCAGTTTAAAATGCTGATTTGGTGCTCAAGAAACATTAACTATTGTTATTAATTGTGAAAATTGTTGTGTTGCTTAATATTTTTATGGAAACCCTGATCATTTCTTTTTCGGGGTTCTTTGATGAATAGAACATTCAAAAGAATAGCATTTATTTGAAATAGGAAACTTTTGTTTTTACTATCACTTGATTAATTGAATGTGTTCTTGATGAATACATGTATTAATTCTTTCAAAATCTTAACTGACCCCCTTTGAACGGTAGAGTATAATGGCAGAAGAAATATTGTATGTAGTAAACCCTTAAAAATAAGGGTCATTTATTAGCATCTGGTTCCACAAAGAAACTTTAACATACCTTCCATTGCACAAAAGGTTCTTTAATCCCCCTTTTGAACCCTTTATTTTAAGGTATTGTGCAATCTGTATGCTTATACTCACTTGATTAATTGAATGTGTTCTTGATGAATACATGTATTAATTCTTTCAAAATCTTAACTGACCCCCTTTGAACGGTAGAGTATAATGGCAGAAGAAATATTGTATGTAGTAAACCCTTAAAAATAAGGGTTATTTATTAGCATCTGGTTCCACAAAGAAACTTTAACATACCTTCCATTGCACAAAAGGTTCTTTAATCCCCCTTTTGAACCCTTTATTTTAAGGTATTGTGCAATCTGTATGCTTATTAAATAAAGGTTCTTTATTGGCTTCGATGGTCCTAACCTCCAACATCCAGAGAACCTTTCAAATGCAGAAAAGTTTCTTTATACTAGAAAAAGGTTCTTTAGATTTTTAAAATGTCCTTCAAAATGGTTCATTTAAGAACTGTTGACTGAAAGGTTCTTTGGGGAACCAAAAAAGGTTCTTCTATTGCATCGCTGCAAAAAAAAAAAAAACCTTTGGAGCCTTTATTTTTCAGTGTATCAGGACCCTCACTGACAAGCAAAGTACTGCGGGAAGGAAAAATTGAATTTTTTGGCTTCAGTCTTGCATATCATAAAACAAAAGTCTCCTCATCTGGAGTCCATTATTAGATTTGTGAGTCTAGACTTACAAACATTATCAAGTCAATAATTAGATTAACATTATTTGCAGACTTGAATTCTGGGATATATTAGTCTGAATGTTTGCAATTGTAGACTGCCTGTCTCCGTTACAGTAACCTGTAAGTGTTTCTGACTCACAGGTTGAAATATTTCAATGCAACACTCAGTGTCAGACCCTCGCTGTCTCATCCCCTCGGCTCTGTGAAGTTGTAAAATTAAATTCAGAGGGTGTGCAGAATAGCTCTATTTCCCATGAACCCATGCGATGATTAAGTGTTCAATATGTACCAAAGTTTCATTTTCAGTGTGCGCCGCCTCACACTGTGGGATTATAATCTAATGTGGCATGAAAATAGGTCTTCAATTGAACAATGTGATTCATTTTACACCAGGGCAAATACGGCAAGAACTCGAAACCCATCTCTCTTCCATACGGTTGACACATCCATGAATTAGAGTCCAAAATACAGATTTGGCACAAAATCTATTTCTGTGTGGACAAAAGTTAAATAAAAGGATCATCAGCCCACTGCAGATGAAATTATTCATGAAGGGAAAATGAATTTTGTCAGGATTCATTCTAGAGTCTGGACAGACTGAACAGGGTTTAATAGGCATCCGTGAATGTCAGATGCTACATTTTTGTGCCAGACCTGATTAAATCAGTAATTTCCCAACAAAATGACCAATAGTTTCTTTTTCATGTACAAGGGAATATCAAAAGGAGTTCAGGACACCCCCAAAAAGTCTGCTATTATAATGATTTGTATTGTAACCATTTTCAGAACAATTAAACTCATTCTCCATAGTTGTCATTACTGTAATGTAAAATACAATCTTAATCTAATAACATGAAATTAAGATTACATTTTATCATGATTTTTATAATAGTCATTGTTTTACTGTATTGCAGTAAAACAGCTGTACATTGTAACATTTTTCGGAAGTTGTAAATAAAACTTATTGAATTCCTTGTTTTACAAGGAAATATTTCAGTTATCTTTAATTCAACGTGTCTTGCCATTTCTTTATAATTATCGGTGAAATTTACTAGCAATTTCTAAGTGAAAATTGCTTCTACACCAATTTTTTTCAATGTATTTGAAATGTTTACATAATTTAAATACTAAAATAAAGTATTTAAAAGTCGTGGCCTAATGGTTAGAGAGTCGGACTCATAACCCAAAGGTTGTGGGTTCGAGTCTTGTACCGGCAGGAATTGTAGGTGGGGGGGAGTGAATGTACAGCGCACTCTCTCCCACCTTCAATACCACGACTGAGGTGCCCTTGAGCAAGGCACCGAACCCCCAACTGCTCCCCGGGCGCCGCAGCATAAATGGCTGCCCACTGCTCCGGGTGTGTGTTCACGGTTTGTGTGTGCACTTTGGATGGGTAAATGCAGAGCACTAATTCTGAGTATGGGTCACCATACTTGGCCACATGTCAAGTCACTTTATACACTTTATAAACATTAAATGCTCTTCAACAAATGCTACAATTATACTTTATTTTTTATAAACACAATTATATTTATGTAAAAACAATATATGTTTTATGAATTTATTTTATTCTATCTTTAATATGAACCATGAAAATATATATATTGTTTTTTTTTTTTATAATAGCAAAGCAATTGTTTTACTGTCAAAAAAACAATGACTATTACAGTAATAATAATTACTTAAAAATACTGAAATGACCAGACATTACAGTAATAAGAATTGTGGAGGAAATGTGCTTAATATGTTCTGAAAATGAGGAGGGGGTGAAATTATACACTATGAGGACATCTTGATAGGTTGTCACAAAGAAACTCAATCTTTAAGAGTCCTCCATAATAATCAGAACAGTATGGTTATTAGAGCATGCAAGCTAAAGGTTACATAAAGCTCCCATCAGTCTCCCATGATACATCCAATGTGAACGTCATAGTGCTTATTGACAGAGCCAGACATTACTGCCACAACTTTCTCTGCACAATACAGCTCTTCAACCTGTGAGTGATATATAACAATCAAATACTGCCTCTGTCAGGCTCAGATCAGCAGCTCCTGTAGGTCCTAAAACCATAACGGTTTGATTGCCTTGCCCTGTACGACAACTGTTTTCTTAAACCCAGAACACACTAGGCTTTTTGTGGTCACTGATGTATATCCTTTAATGACGGGATACTTCACCTAGCAATTATGGACAGCATCTGATGCTACAAATGCAGAATTCTGCTCCAAAATATTTGATCAGATATTGATTCGTATGCAGTTATGGCTGTTTGCGTTATTTTATCAGCTGCTTTAAAAAGTACCATTACATAAGGCTTGCTTGTGTGGATTGTTTCAAAATGAAGACTCCTGTCATTATTATTAAAGCATTAGTCTCCCCTCTAGTGGTCATGATTCACCTCAGTGTAAATTCATCAATGCAGCTCAACATCTGCCACAGAGAGTGCTATAGATAAGGGCAAATACCTCCGATTTATATATCGAACAACTGATTTATGCACTTGTGAAGAACAAAACTTGATTTACTGAGAAAACTGAGAAATTGTGTTTGCATCGCAGCTTCAGACTTGAATAGCCTTGGGCCAAACTCTGACCCCTTTGATATGATATCTATATGATTCTGCACACAATAACACAGGGGTTAATATAAAGCATATAGGACAATGATCTCAAATAGGCTATGCATTCCAAAACGTTTAATGAGAGGAACCCCTTGTGTTGTGTACTTGTGTAAAACTGACATGATTCCCTTTCCTCATAGAGTAAACGTAACTTACCATTAAAATCACATTCACTGTATTTCTGATTGTTAAAATAATGTTTCTTTCTCTCTCTCTCTCTCTTAATTGCAGCTTTGCATCATCTAATATAATGCAATATGTCAACCAGCTGTAGTGATATGAGCACCAGCACTGTCAGGATTTCTTGACAAATTTTTTCCCAGACATAATTGTTTGATAAGATTCCCTATTATTATGTCTGCTAGAGTTTCCCATACACATTTTTGCTTTAATAAAATGTAACACAGGATTTTCACACTGCGCTTAACCGGGTTTCTTAGTTCTAAACCCCGCTTTTAACCCCAGGTAAGCACCGTTTCACATTTGTAATTTAGAAGCGAGTTATTAAACCCCACTTCGATACAACTTGAACAGAGAGAAACGAAGTTAGAATGTCACGGCTAGAATCTTACAGACACCCATTCCCGACGTTCCTTAATCACGTGTTTGGCAAAGTCACAGAAACCCCGCGCGTTTTAACAGCAGCTTCAGCGACAAAACAAGTCAAATAATGGTGACAGAAAACGCATTAATTGGAGTTTAAAAAGAGACCGTTTCATTTTTACCTTTATAGTCCGAAAAGTCCATCCTGGAAAACTTGTTCTCAGGAATATTTCATTAAAATACGTGAATGTTTAGAGCCTTTACGTAAAGATGTCACGTGCCGCGTTCATCCAATCGCTGACAGCTTGACACTAAACGCTGTAAATATGAACGTCTTTTTATGAATTTCCAGGAGGATTAAATTATGAGCAGTGTGAAACGTGAATGATTCCTTTTACCCGGGGCTCAGAATGACCCAGAGTTAATGATTTCAGGTATGAAAAAGAGTGCATCGACCAGGGACCTCAACTCATGTGAGTAATGTTACCATAAATAATTTTAATTAAATTATGCTGATGATTTATCAATCATTTTTTAAATATAAAAACAAAGGCATTTTCTTCCCTCTCTCTATCACCTGTTTGGGCTAGTATGCATTTATTAATAAAAGCTACACGGCTCCTCTACAAATGCATGCAGGTTTGTATTTTCTGATACTTCTCGTATGTCCCATTAGACTTTCCATAGTAAAGAGGAGGAACGTCCTTTCTCAATAAACGCTCCTATTGGTTGGAGCCGACCACTGGCGTCATCACGCACCGTTGCCAAACAATGGGCAGGAAAAAGCCACGTTGACGAAGTCGACAGAAGTGTGCGTTATTTTTCAGCCAGGAACCTGAAGGATTGAAACTACTTCAGTCTCTGTGGATTTAATGTATTTAATACACGAGTTTCACAATTTGAGTTGAATTACTGAAATAAATGAACTTTTCCATGACATTCTAATTTATTGAGATGCACCTGTATGTATGTATGTTTGTGTATGTATGTGTATATATATAATATACAAAAAACCGGTGTGTTTGATAATAACAGGGTTGAATCATGATGCGCAAATTTTTTATATTTTTTTTTTATTTTATTTTTTTTTATATATAAATGAAATAAGGATAAGTTGGATAGAGGGATAAAATGAGCAAAAAAGACTTCCAACAAAAATAGAATAAAGTTACTGGATTTTGGTTGGCGTGTCAAGAAAAATACCTATAATAAAAGTTGGTGTCAGCTCTTCATTGTTTACACATATGCTCACAAGGGATTTGAAAGTCATACTTTTATGGATTTTCCCTAGTGCATGATTCAGCTGATGTGTTATGCTGCTTGCAAGCTCTTCCCAAGTAGCCATTTGTCTCTAAGAGACAGTGTATGTTAAAGATCAACCATGTTTGATTATATGACATGGCGCAGATTTTCATCCAAATATTTTTCCTTTCACAAAATGTAAATGTGTGATTTTTGCATTGTGTTTCACTCTGTCAGCATATCTGTCGGTGTGGTGTAAAGTACACAAGAAATCAGATAACAACATGTGTGTAATGGCCCTAATAGTAGGCCAAGGGAAAAAAGATAGCTTAAGGTTGCATATTAAAATGGCCACTTGTGATTTATGTTATTTGATGACATTGTATAATAAATGCAATTTCAGTTACCACCAGTGTCTGGAAATAAACTCTGAACTGTTTGTGTTTATTTATGGCAGTAAAAGCAGGAGGCATGCGGATAGTTCAGAAGCACCAATCTGCAAATGATGTGCCAGACAAGAAGAATGACAAAGACAGTAAAGAATATGAGACTGAGATGTAAGTATTCTGACCTTCACATTTCTGAAGTATGGATTTCAATTCTAGTTCACCATACACCTCTGCACTGACAGACTGTTTTTTTTCTAGTGAAGCATATGGTCGTCTCTATTTTCAGCTATAGCTTGTCAGAATCATTATTGCTTTGTTTTTTATTGATTGGTTTTATTTATGAAGTATATTTGAAGAGATTGTAGGCTCGTAAGTCTTATAATTTTGATGCTTCTCCAATAGAGAATAAAAATCAAAATAGGTTTCAGTTCTTATACATCACTTCATAACCCTGTAGTATCTTTATGCTCATGCTTATACTTTTAAATTCTGTTTACTTGCACGCTACCAACCTTTTAAAACCTCCTCAGGTAAACTATTTCCAGCAATAACCAGTCTCTTATCAAGACATTTTATTTAAATGTATCGTACAGCTCACTTTAATACTTAATTCTGGTTGGTCAGTCGCTGAATTCTGCTGGTGGATATTTTGAATAATAATATTAAACTGTGATTGATTGTTGTTTAAATAGATATTTCCAATTTTCTCATAGAAGATTCTATTTAAAATAATGTGTATGTTTTTTTTTCTTTTTCTCTGAAACACTGAAAACAGCAGATCATGAGTTGCTGGCGTGTAAGAAAACACAGTGCCGCACTGAAACGCACAGTATATACATTTATTTAATTCAATTGCATACTTTGTGATTTGATGATTGCACTAAGCCATATCTCGTTTTAATTTTTAATGTGATTAATCATGCAGCCCTACTTCAAGGGATAGTTCACCCAAAAATTTAAATTCTGTCATTAATCACTCATGTTCGTTGTTTACATTCAGATCAAAGAGTAAACAACATAAACAACATATATGCGTACATGTTGCATATGTTGTTTACGTATGTGATACTCCCCAAAATGGCACTATAGGGTGACGCGGAGACAAATTGTTGAATAAAGTCGTTCTTTTTGTTTTCTTTGCACACAAAAAGTATTTTCGTAGCTTCGTAAAATTACGGTTGAACCACTGATGTCACATGGATTATTTTAAAGATGTCCTTGGTACGTTTCTGAGCCTTGATCGTGTACGGATCCTTGCTGTCTATGGGAGGGTCAGAGAGCTCTCAGAATTCATCAAAAATATCTTAATTTGTGTTCCGAAGATGAACGGAGGTCTTACGGGTTTATAACGACATGAGGGTGAGTAATTAATGACAGTAGTTTTTGGGTGAACTATCCCTTTACTTTCCAAGTAACACAATTCTTTATAGACTTTAGTAACGCTATGAAAGTCTTGGTTCTGCATTGTCTGAGTTGAACATTTGATCAGTGACACAGGTGTGCAATTCCCATATGACTGTGGGTATATGGAGAGGTTTCTGCTAAAACGAGAAATGTTTTTCTTAGCTTGGACTTTCTCTGCTCTGTGTTGGTGAAGCGGCCCACACTAAACCAGAATATTTAATATGATGATGAAGTCACTGTTAGTGCCCATCTGTCTCTCAATGACTAAAAGTGAAGGTGAATTTGGCCGTCTTAACACACATTTCTGGATTGGTGAGCACATGACAATCATTTTTGGTCACAAACTAAATGTAATCTTGGGTGTGTCAGTTAGGATGTGGCAACAGCCGGATATTGCCACGTGTTCCGTTTTTTTCTTTTTCTTCATTGTGGTTGAGTGTGTTTAGATTAAATAGGTTTCACTGAGTTTTCTGCTTGTTGCTACTAGGTAGCTGTCTTAGCTGTTAGTCGCGCAAGTGCACATGTGCAGTGCAAAAGTTTTACAGTCCTCAGATTTCCCCGTTTGTGTTGTCATAGCTGACCTGTTTTCAGCGCTACTGAGGTGTGTTCATAGGGTTTGACTGCTGATTCTGATGGGCTTTATGGCTTTGTTAGCGGTCCCCTCCACCTGATGACTCATGGGCTGCCCCGTTACAGCGGGTCTGCAAGCGAGCCCTTATCAGCTCACTCAGCCTGCTTCAGGAAATCCTACGAGGTGTATCATTCCTGAACAAGCTTAAAGCTGCTTTTAATATCTCTGGCTTTCCTTCAGAAACGTGGCAGCCATTCGCAAGTGGACGTTTCAGAGAAGAGTTTGAAATGCGGTTTCAGTGCCCAAGCACTGTGATGTTAGAATGTGATCCGTCCACCCACGTTATTAGGTTTGGCATTTTCTCGCACCACTGGCAAGCCAAGAGGAAACTCGCCATTTTCCTGTGTAGTCTCTTTGTGCTCAGATGGTTTTCCAAAGCTTGTTTTAGTTGTTGACAACAATGAGATTATTTGCATGGTTATTATAGTGGTTGGTTATTATCAGTTAATTCAGCTTTTTTTTGTTGTAGTTATAGGCTAATAGTATGTTATAGGCCAGTTATTTTGTCTGCTTGGCTGATTAATGGATGTTTCTTCATCTTTGTGTTGATTCCCAAAACTCCCAATTTAATAAATCTTTTTTTTCTTACTTAATCAGGGGAGTTTCATTTAAAGTTATGTAAAATAAAAACAGGAACAAATCATTACAGCTTCTACGAATGTTTTATTTTTCGAAATATTTAATATTAATATAAAAATGTCAATCTTTTTACATTTTTCAAGTGAATTAATTTAATGAATATATTATATTAACAATTTATTGCAATTAAATTTCAAATACTCTCGTATTTAAATCTAATTGTAATACATTTAATCGATTTTAATATAATTTCACCCATTTTCTGTATGTATCTGTATTTATGTAACTAACTAACTGAGCAAAAATAGCACATTCACACCATATCGGAATTAACAAAATTACAAGGTTCTTACTTGTAAAAAGTGTTCACATCTTCGTAGAACTCATAATCACAACTTGTAAACTTCAAATATGCTCTGACTTGTATCTTCTGACTACTGTAGTGTCATGCAGAAGTAGCAGCAAATTTAGTAGTACAATTCTTTAGTAACATTTCTGTTTAATAATTCTTAAACTGACTAATTATAATGTCAAAATAAAGCTAGAGTAATCTGACATGAATCTGATTAAATAATACATCTAACACAGAGATGAATATCTAACTTATGTAAGTTTATTAATAAGGCATTTGCAAAAAAATGGAAAATAAATTGTGGTTTTGGCTATTGATTACACAAATTAATTTTGGCATTAATTGTGTTGCCATAGAAACTCGTAATTACATATCAAAGGAAATGAACAGCTCAGAGCTAATATTAATGGTAATATTAAGAGCCACTAAAAAAACGAAATTATCATACCCTAAATTTAGAAGTGATATAGATAATAAAATTACATTTCCCAACCAAGGAGACATTTTCGCATCTGATCCACCAAGTTGCTTGTGGCCCTCAATGTATGCATGTGGGGGACTCGCATAACTAAACATAATAATCCATCAGCAAAAGTGAGTCATTATGCTGAATGCTAAATAGTGTGTCAGCCATTAAAGATGTCTGGCACACATTTAGTGAGTCAAAAGAAAAAGATTTTGCCAATATAATATACCAGACAAAGACAAAATGCAAGACAGTAGTTGCAAATAGAAGCTCAACAACAGAGAGAGACAGAAGCAAAATCCTTCACAATACATCGTCAGAAAGTGCTGTGGAATTAAATTAGGACCTCTGTGAACCTGTCTCAGCTGGGTTTAGTTTCAGAACGCTGGAATGAGGGAAATTGTACAGTAGTTGTACAAGGCCAATGCACAAGACCTGGTGTAAGGAGCCAAAACTTAACAATGGACAGAAGTAACATGCCTGAATTGTCATCTTACACTCGATTTCCTTCATCTGGGTTGGTTTTGTTTGGCGAAAGCTAAGCGGTGTTCTCTGCAAACATTATTCCTTCACAATGCTCCCATACACGTCTTTAAACAAATTCACAGATGTTTTCAGTGAGATCAGGATTAAGTCTAATGCTTTCCATGGCCACGGATCATTGAACCTTTATGAGCAGCTCAAAATTGAGTTTCAGTTTGATTGAAGCGTTCCTGCTCTGTATTTCATCTTTTATTATAGATATTAATACATTTTTAAGTGTGGCCGAATGTGCCAGACATGCACACACTCTCATGTCTTGCTCTGTTCACTCTTCCTCCATGTTCTCTTTGCTATCAGTGAGATGACCTGTAAGCAGGTGGCTTCTGATGGAAAAATTGCACATTTGTCGAAGCAAGTCAAGTGGCACTGTCTAGGGACCACCTGTCAAATGTAATTTGGGCTTCTCAGATGGATCGGAGGCCAAAATGGAATGGGTCTGAGATGCTAATGTGATGTGCTGTGCTGGTGAGCTCACTCTTTGATGCGTCCGCCTCCGCTGTCTTCCCTGTCCTTTCTTTATACTTAAGCCCAAAGTATACTTTGACCATCCGTGGTTCGCAATGATCTATAATTTGTGTCATCAGGAGTGTCCATGCATACAGCATTCGCTAAAAAGTTACACTACATTTTGCATGCTTCGTAATATGCATTACTGTTCAAAAGTTTGGGGTCGTCAAGATTTTTTGAATGTTTTTGAAGTCTCTTATGCTCATGAAGGCTTCATTTATTTGATCAAAAATACAGTAATATTGTGAGGTATTGTTGCAATTTTCTATTTGAATACATTTCATTTAGAATAAAATTTAATTCATGTAATGCAATAAATTGTTTCCTGTGAATTTTCAGCAGCCATTAATCCAGTCTGCTGTGTTGCATAATCATTCTAATATGCTGATTTAGTCATCTAAAACATTTTATCATTATCACAGTTGAAAACAGTTGTGCTGCTTAATATTTTTATGGAATAGATGAACAGAGAATAGAACGATAAATATTTGATTAATAGAAAATTCAAAAGAACAGCATTTATTAGAATTTATTTAGATTTTTTTTTTTTAACAATGTGAAAGTTTGTTACTTTTGATTAATTAATAATAGAAGTATTAGCTAACTGAGCAGTAGTGTAAATAATAATAATATTTATTTATATATATATATATATATATATATATATATATATATATATATATATA